AAAAATAACAAAGTGTTAATTTTAGAGATTACTGTTTTTACATTTTCCCCTAAAAAACGATAACAGTTGGAAATGAGCGTTCCGGACCGCGTATTGGCATTCTGTACTATTATTCAGAGCAGCTCTGGTCTGATTCACAGTATACTATGGCTTCACGTTATACGCAATTTGATAATACATTATATACTGCGATTCAGAGCACCGATATGGTTTAGTGTTTGTTTTATTACTAAAATCAGCTAACCACTTGTCACACCAAACACTGTTAATATCTTCACCCGTTTTTTTTTCGCTTTAAATCCCTGTTCTACTAGTTCCAAATATTCGATTATTGAAAACGTATTCTCGTTACACATTTGAACCAATACCTCTTTATAGATCATTCTAGTCTCGATTTTAGTGCAGTTTGAGAACCTTGATTACACACAAACAACAAAAAATATACTTTTCTTGCAAAGGTAACAATAAAAACATACATCTTGTAAGTGTATGACAATCAAAAACCAATATTTTCTCCCGCGCGATGTGACATTCTTTCTGAATCACAGTATAAATTTGCTATATCGCAGTATAATTTGACTCAGGCCCACGCGCTTTATAAAGTGTAAACCATATCGGTGCTCTGAATCGCAGTATATAATGTATTATCAAATTGCTCTTAACGTGAAGCCATAGTATACTGCGAATCAGACCAGAGCTGCTCTGAATAATAGTACAGAATGCCAATACGCTTCCGGACCAACTGTATCTTATAGAAAATTTTATTTTAAACAAGTTCATTTCTATTCATTTTTTCCCTCAGAGCAATAGTTAACGGGATATTGGCAGTCAAATGTGAAAAAACACTACATTTTTTCTTCGTTTTTTGTTTATAACAATATCTTCCGGGCATTTCCTGCCGGGGGGACTATGATTTTCCGATTCAGCGGATTTTTTTACATAGAATACGCTTGGTTTCGTTCAGTGAAATGACAACATCCAGTTTATACTACTTTTAGAGCTAATTTGACTGGACTATAATCTTAAAAAGCAGAAATTGGTACAGCTCAAACCGAGGCTCAAACGGTTTGGAATGTGTATATACAGAGAGATTCTTTTAAGAGAATACAATTCCATTACGTATCTATTTAAATGACCACAACAAAGCATTAGGGAAAATAGCAACTTTTGACAAATGCCATCCAAAATGTTAAATACCCTTTTCCGGAAACCCACAGTGTGTTCCTTGCTTGATTATTTAGGTATCTTTAATTTTGTTGAGTCCAAAACTTAATAGTATCTTCATTAAAACATTTGAACAACGGAGTGGAAATACTACCACCACGGTGACACCTTCTTGACGTTTCAATTTCTGGTACAGAATGAGAATATGGCCTAAAATTTAGCATGCATATATTAAATTCTTGACCGAGGTCTTTATAATATTTGCACCAGAATATTCGTTTTCGGAGAGATTCGCCTCCTTAAAATTTACCCTATCCGTAATATTCGCGACAGAGATACATTAGCTCCACTTTCGAGAAAAATATAAGCCCTCCGAAATCGTCGCCCCAAGAAAGTACCACTCAAGGAATATTCACGTCAGGAAAATCCGCCCTCAAAGGAAATTGCATTTATGGAAGATGTGTAATCGATATTAATACGTTTTCGTATTCATTATAGGTACAACAGGAACGACATTTTGTCCACTGTGGGCATCGGTGGTAGAATTCAAGGTGGTTGCACGATGTCATTTTTCATCACGTTTTTTCATTATCGATGGGCTATATCACATTTTTTAAAGTAGGAAATATATAACTCACTCTCATCTCATATAAAATCCTCTACAATGAAAAATTTTAAAAAATATATGCGGAAGTCACTGCTAGAAAAACAACATAGGTCTCTCTACGCCCTTTTCTTTTTTTAGTTTTAATTTCATACACATAAAGTGATATCGGTCATTGGCTGACTAGGAACTTCGTTTAAATAAGCAAGGGTTAATTGGAAGAACAGATGGTAGAGTTTTCAACTACCAATCTGAACTTCGCCCTTTTGAACTTAACGGTGAGCATTTCCTCTTTGTCTATTTTTTTACTGCACCTGCTTTTCTGTTCACTGTTTTTTTCAATAAACGGACATTATTATTATATTATTATATAAATATTCTTTATTGATACAGACTTATATCGCGGAGTCTCACATCATTCAATAGTGTTTTTTGTTAATTGGTACCTACTGGTGCGGTTAGCGAGTATCAAATATATGGAATTCGCGACAGGTAGATAATTACATGACCCTCATCATATCAATTACAAAAATCTTTTACTAATTTACTTCGCAAACCACTTGAATTATTATTAGCATTGTGTATTAATGTAAAAATGAGAGACGCGTTTGGTCAGTTCATTCACATTATTTGAACGAAGACTTGTTTGGATAGATTGTAGGGGCCGATTTTCATAAAATCTTTACCATTTGTTACAAAAAGAAAAGCACATCAAATGCCAAGTTTGTCTTTTTAATCATTCTACATATAAATTCGACAAACTACAATGGAGTCCTTCATACTACGAAAAGCACATCATATTTCAACACGCTGAACTTTATGCCACTGTAAATATTTAAACAATGAAGTTTGACACATAGCAATCCTAGTTTTGGGAATGTTTCTATTTTAAATGTCTTTATTAAGATTAACGCAGCAATTGTTTTTTACTTTCCTCGCTAGAGAGGAAAATCACATTTTCTTCACCCTTTTCAGAGACGAAAGTAGTTGTTTCTAAAGTAGTTTCAAAAAAACAAATTGAATGGAAGTGAACTGTGGTACTTAAAAATAAGCCCGTACTACCCCTGTGCAAAATAGATTCTCTAAAAGAATGGTTGAAATAATCTATTGATTTATACTAGATGGGTGTAAATCTGGTCATTTTCAAGTAGCGAACACAACCCTAAAAATCATAAGGTCAAGATCAAAATTAATCCATCGTGAGTCCCAGCAAATAATTGTAACTCTGCGATCAATCTTTTTATCCTCACAGCAAGAAATAAAAGGGCTCTTTCCACTATCTTTAAACAACATACTCAAAATACAACCATGAAGTTTATTTTTGCTTATAAACTTGAGACCAGAATGGCAGTTAATTTAATGAATAAAATCTTCCAGTGAACAGAATTGGAAATCCTTCAACTTTATACAGTGCGAGTATAAAGTCCGGAAGTTTACTGTAATTTTCACATAAGGATCGTGTTTTGTTTTTGAGATATGACGTAAACGATAATTATTTTAGATTGGAAACACCCTACTTTTTTATACTGAATTTTTCTTGTTATTTTAAAAAAAAGTTACAGAAATAAAACGATGCTCAAAATTACCTTTCAATCAGAGTACGATAAAAATGATTATGAATCAAAATATCAAGGACTGTATAAATGTTTAAAAAATTAAGTAAAATATATTAACAGTTCCTCTCCCATCTCCCAACACAAACCGATACTCAATATTGTGCGATATAGATATTTTATGTTCAAACTAACTTAATTATAGGCGGACGACGATATAGGTTCTGTTTTATTATAAAACTGTGTCTTCCTTTTAGCATTCTTATTCGCAAACTCGTAAAAACGTTCAGGGGATCGTTCAATCCGAAACGATTGCTCCACGAAAGTATCAATTCAATTGAAGTACTAACACACACAATTTCAGGGGTAGGTACCCGTTAACTAAAAAACATAAAAGCTGGAGATAGAAAAGAACCCCTTCACGCGAAATCCTGCTATCTCAACCACTCGCTAGTCTGTCAATATGTCCCAAAATGGAAAAAATGTTCGTTTTTAACACAAAATGCATCAATTTGTCGTACCAAAAACATCTACCCCCTGAATATTTCAATTTCCAACCAATAGGCTGTTGCGACCGATCTGTACTTTAGTCTCCTTTTACGTAAACATGCATTGTCGTCTGTATTTTCCCGCCTTACATTATTAGATGTATAGGTGTAAGATTAAGAATTCAAAATCACCATACATTACCTAACGAGAAAAAATAGGGAAGAAGAAAAATCAAATCTAACCCACAAGAAACTCGGCACAAAAGAGCATTTTCTGCTATTCTATTCCTCTATTAATTAATCTAATAATTTTACTTTCTCCCCTTTTCGGCGTGTATTACTTATGTTTTGAAATTTTCACTTCCCTTTTTTTCATGGCAACCAAATTCGTTTTGCTTTAATGAAACGAGTGAACGGAACCTCCATAAATTATGCAAATTGGCTCAAGAAATTAAATTAATGTACGAAACCACAGATAAACATTTTCAAATTCTGTTGGACTGATGATCTCGTACGATCCATTCTATTAGTTTCAAAAAGTAAACATTTCTTCTTATTGAGGGTTATTAACCCATGAAATTTACTAAGTGATTCTTATATCTTCGGTATATAACGTCAATTAACTTAACCAATCTTATAAATTATACTAACCCCCTTATTTACGTCAATCATTTTATTATACATTTGCGTAGTTGCTTTTGGTACCTAATCTAATTATGTAGCACATTGCCAAAAAGGGTCGGGACAGCCAACTTGAGATGCATCTGCACCTCTTAGGAGAGATTATTTTTGAAAACCGAAATCTGCAGTGAATCAGTCATACGTTTACCGGTATACAGGTTTTCCAGGTACTGTGTGTATTACGACAAAAAACGTATGGGGAAAATTAGTCACGTTGAAGCCTCAAGGTCCTATGGTTATCGCATAAGATTATTACCTCAGTAATTCACATCACAGGTGGGTACGTAAAAAGTACCTGTGTACCTAGTGAGTGTTGCATTAACACTTACCTACTCATAAAACAGTCGTTACGCTTATATAACAAAATCGGTACGTTTCTTCTCATTTTTAACACTTTTCAGTTCTTAAACCTAAGCTACTTTTAATAGGTACAATGTTAAATGAGCATTTAATTATTAAACTTTCGTTAAATCCCCACTTAGAATCTATTTAGTTATTATACCTTATATTAATCGTTCATTCAGTCGATAAATACCAATCGAGTTGACGTTATTGTTTCTTTTCGAAAATTGCTTTTTGTAGAAACTCATTAAACGTTACCATTACCGGAAACCGTAAATTTAAGAAATTATTTTCGCGACGCTGCTGTCTTATTCCGATTAATTTAGTGTTAAGTAAGATGACGCGCGGATTCTATCAATTATTGTTATTCTCATATTCCAGAATGTCGGCCTTAATTGTGTAAAATGTTGTATTGTTATTTATTGACACGATACCTGTGACCTGCTGTAATTTTTTTGGATTTCGATATGGGAATAAGTCGTGAGTGTTAATTAATAATATATATATATATATATCATCTTGTAGATTTTGTTTATTTACTAAAATTCCTTGGGGATATTTTTAGTAACGGTAACTGAATCTATTTTGCATTCATAATGATTTGTATATGCATATATATTTTATGCTAGTGCATAAAGTAGTTAGTGACGTAAATTTCTGGGGTGCCAAAGCAGCACGTTAAAAAAATCATTGATATGTGGCATGTGTGCGTATTTTTCAAAAATCTGCACCAAGTGAGAGGACATTTAACTGATTTGGGCTCAGTCGTCATACCGGCTTGTTGAATTGTTATGAAAGTTTACAGAAAAGAACCGTGTAGATAGTATTTGTTTAAATTTATTTAACCAGGTTTGCTTGGCTGCGGTTTTGAAACTATTAGCTCATGGTATCCGTGTTCATTTTAGCAATGAGTTGATTTGCGATAAATTGGTACTAAGCACGTTTCCATCTTGAGCAAGTTTTGTCTGGCGAACGAATGAAAAATAGTATATTAAGATATAAGTGTATAATCAAGTCTTTAAAGCACGCGCAACGAGTTTAATGGCATGACGCGAAGCGGAGTGCCTTTAACGTTGCAAGTGCTTTAAAGGCCAATTATACACTTGTATCTTAATATATTATTTTTCATTCGTTCGTCAGACAAAACTTGCTCAAGATGGAAACGTGCTTAGTAGCAATTTATTATTATACTTGCAGTATAATTTAAAAATAGAAAATACAATGAAATCATATTGACGTTATACTCGAATACATGTCTAATTAAGTGGGCTGGGTATTCGTAATTTCACGATTGCCATGGAAATATCACTTGACGTTTGATTATAAAGATCATCGTCTTTGTGAATAAAACGATTTCCTTTGAAGAAGATAATACACCGTCCATTAAATCGCTTGTAAATCTAAATAAACGTTGGTAAGTGTAAAATTCAAATCCATTACCTAAAGCCTATTATAAAGAATATGAAAAGTTGTTTCCATTGATGAATAGGAAGTTACTTACGAATAAAGTCTTAAATGCATCGATAATGCTGGCATATATGAAGGAAATGTCAAAGGTATTTAAATCTTCTATCTTTTGGTGCATTCATTCAAAACTTCAAACAATGCTGCAATTAAAAAGCGCGTTTGTGAAAGCTTCAACCAAAGGAAAGGTACAAACCAAAGAAATGTTCTGCATTTACAGAAAACGTAATTAAGAGGATTTTTTATTTCAACCCCAGATGACAGTTTCAAAAGTCATACTTGAAGTATCATCACTTAGCAACTTTAAAGCACGTGTGTTTTAAAGGCCTTTTTTCGCACTCATTTGAGTGTTTAAAAAGGAGATTGTGATTCAGGTATAATAAAATAGTTATTTATATAACAAGAGCGCGAAGTTCAATTTCGCGCATTGAGACTGAAGGTATTTTGACGAGGCGAAGCCGAGTTAAAATATCAGTCAAATCCGCGAAATAACTTCGCGCTAGCGTTATATACAATATTTTTTCTACAACTGAACCGATTGTTAATTAAATTTGCTGTTTAAGTTCAATTTTGTCACGTGCGCCAAATACTTTTTTTCACTGTTGACGATTTCGTGCACGTTGTCAAGGGCAACCTTACTTATTAATTAACCGTTTAAAAATCTAGTACTTCGCGCTTCGAAATTCGTCAGAAAATGACAGGTTTTTTTGACAGTTGTAGAAAAAAATATTTTTTTATTATACCTTACCTGAAGATTAATAAAATCCTGGGCTCAATATTTGGAAATGCGGGTTATTCTGCATATTTAAACAACGCGTTTATTATAAGAGATAGAAAAAACCGAGGAAAAAACGTTAAATACAAAAGTTGTGGGGTTTATCATAAATCGCCAGAAACTTTAAAGTAAGAAACGAATGAATATCAGAATGTTAGTAAAAATGCAAAATTTGTTTATTTTTAATGGATCGTCCTGTAGGTATATTTTTCAAAAATTGAACACATCCTTTCTTTCTGATTTCGAAAATATATAATATGTTGATATTTGCTTTATTAGTCGTTTTTGAATGAACATCCTGAGTTTATTACCAATACCTACTTTATTTAAATTGGATAAAGACTACAGAAAATGTATTGGAAGTAATGGTGATCATATCCAACATTTGTAAATTTGGATTACATTTTGTTTATTTATTACTTATTATAATGTAAAGTTGATCTAGTTTATTTTCAGGGTAACAATAATTAATAGTAGGTAAATAATCATGGCCATTTGTTTTGTTCTCTTATAATAAACACGCAACGCCCTGTCTAAATATACAGAATACAGGAAACCTCAAAGCAACATAGCATCTCAGATGAGGAAATATACAAAATTGCATGAGCATGTTAATCAATTTCCGGAAATTGATTTATTGCCGTACATTTCTGTGTGTAGTAAAAATGAATTATCCTCTCCGGTTTATCCTCTATTATCTTGCTTATGAAGGCTTTGATGCATGTACGCAAATGCAAATTATCAATTTATTTAATTACAGCGTGTACTGAAGTGCTACACACTTTGCACTATTTAGTAAATATATAATTACCTCATTAAAAAGGTTTATAAATAGTTTAATGAGTGGCTTGTTTTCACACTGTGTGTGGCTACCTACCTACCCAACCAGATGGGATTTCTAAGCGTAGGTAAACGAAAATTAGCGTGGTTGATTAGTTTAATTTAAATACAGGGTATACCTGCGTCAATTTCGTCCGTCCGTGCGTCTGAGAGTTTGAGATCTCAGTACTCTGACCTCGTAGAAAGTCGCGTTTTTTTAAGGTTTCAAAATTCAATATATTTCTTATTCAGCTCCGTGAAGTTGACGGCACCCAAACCGATTTCTTTCCTTTTATAGGTGCGAATCGTTTGTTTATCGTTTGTTTAGGTTTGTTCAGCTATTTTTGACGTTTGTTTAGGCTGGCGTCTAACGAAAAGCAAAATAGGTTGTGGGTGCCGCCAGCTTTACGTCAGCGGCACCCATGGTGGGATTTTGCACTTTTATTGACTGCAATCGTTTGTATATCGTTTGTTTAGGTTTGTTCAGTTATTTCTGACGTTTGTTTAGGTCGGTGTTTTACGAAAATCGATATGGGTTTTGGTTGCCGCTTACGCGTAACAAAAGACCACATCACGATTGTACAGGTTCAATAACTACCCACAACCACATATTAGTCGATACCGATTTTATTGGCACACAGCTGCCATTCAAAAATCAGTGCGTTTGAATCAAATTCCAAAAACAATCAAAATATCTGAGTGTACTCATCAACTGCTTGGAGTGGTAGCTTTTCGCCCGGGGCACTACACTTGCTACAATCGAAGACTTGCGAGCGATTCTTGGGACCTTCACGATGGGGTAGTGAATAAAGTCCGTAAAAACATTTCTGGCATAGAAGAGATTGTCTCACATCTACTTTTTTACATTTAATAATAACTATTTCTGCAGTACTGTTATGTCATTTTGCATTGAAATAAAAAACTGAGGAAGGAGGGTACATACATAAAACGTACGCTTGTTGGGATCCAATTAGGCTTCTCAATGTGACCGACTTTTGCAGTTAATTGACATTTACGGTAAAATGAAATGGTTAGCTAGCTGTAAATCGTATAATATAACAAAGTCAAAAGCTACAGAAGAAACGAAAATTACATTTCATAGGTGGTAACCATGTTATATTTCTTAAAATGGTCTTTTTCCACTATACTTAATTTCATTCATTTTGCAGGTAGTGATACACATCCATTACCGTAGCAATCTCAGGTAGCAATAGTGTATAAAACTGTGTAAAACAACATTTTGAAATACATCTACTTTTCAGATTTCCTTTTAGATAGATGGATTTGGTATATAAGAAGTGATGAATCTGTCTGTAGTACTTTCAGTACACTATCCGCCAAAAAAATAAAAATTTTAATGTGTGTACGCCACTGCGCGTATGAACGTCCGCCATATTGAGAAGCCTAATAGGATCCTACCTAATAATACATAAGTTCCTTCCTTAAACCTTAGCCTTTTATTTTAACGGTTGTGAGGAATACTTTGCTGTTCTAATTAAAAAGTCATTATGAGTCGTTATGACCGTTACTGGCGAAACCTGAGACCCTCATCAAATGTCCTAAGACACCGATCTAAACAACCCTCAGCTGTGGCTAAACAAATGATATACAAACGATTGCAATCAATAAAAGTGCAAAATCCCACCATGGGTGCCGCTGACGTGAGCTGGCGGCACCCATAACCTATTTTGATTTTCGTTAGACGCCAACCTAAACAAACGTCAAAAATAGCTGAACAAACCTAAACAAACGATAAATAAACGATTCCCACCTATAAACATAAAGAAATCGGTTTGGGTGCCGTCAACTTCACGGAGCTTTCTTATTCGAATAGGTATCTGGAGAACGGAGTGTCGATACTCACAAAGGGGAACTGATACATCTTGAGATGCATCTAATGGTACATTCGACGTGGTCGGGTCACTAAGTAACGGAGAGATGATGCATTTTAGTATACAAAACGCAATTCGCAAAGAGAAAAGTGAAGTGAAGGTCTGTTGGAGGAGTAAAAACTTGTAATGTAAATAACTTCCGAACGAAGAGAATCCAGTACACAAAAAAAGAGAGTGATAGGTCTCATTTTCAATTTGATTGTATTAATAGTAACGGAGATATAAAAAATAACGTATTCGAAGAGTCTTAAGGGTGCTAACAAAGTAAATATAAAAGTTATTGCCTAGATGCATCTGTCGCAATAGTGAAACATAACACGAAACGTAACATTCGCTTACAGCATCGTTAGAGAATTACCCGTCATGTTATATTTATAGGTACATCTCGCGTATTTCCAATGAGGAAAAGTACGTCTGAAGACACGTTTTTAATATTTTTTAGTTTTTCAATCGCCAAGTATAATTCTCATGCCCACAAATCAGCCGTACTATTTCTTTTACCTGCATGTTTCATTTTCTTAGTTGAACCA